AGAGTCCTCCACCGAGAACTCAAGCGGAGCTGTGCCTGGAAAGCTGACCAGCCTACACCGCGACCACCTTGGGTGTAAGTAAATAATCTTTTCAATCAACCATTACGCCTCCGTGACTGATTCTAGCTCGAGCGTACCATACCGCGCCGCGGTTTTTTCCAACCCCGTGTACCCGGGCTGCTGGCCACAGCCTGTGCGCCCAAAGACGGGCCCGGCTCGCCCCCGAGATCGGGAGCCGGCCCGCACACCCTTGATCTTCCAAGGACAACGACTCAAAAATCTTGTGTTTTTCCTGGTTGTTAATCAATTTCTTGGTATGTTCCAACTTAATAGAAATTGATAAACTGTTGTTACTGAGGAAGGTAATTCAATCAAAATTGGTACTTTCTGATGACCGCTAATGAACAGTTTGATTAACAGGATTTTCCTGTTAAGTACTGCTTGGGCTTCTCTCTCAATTTATACAGCTACAAGAATGCTTTACAGATGGTGAGCTAAAGGGCTTAAAAGAAGAACAAGACAGCTAACCGGGCATGCTTCAAGAATGAGAAATTGTTCCGATAAGAACTGCTACTGTGCCTAGCTGATCTTCTAGTGAATGAATCCATGTCTGGAGAAGCTGACAACACTGAGACCGCCTCTTTGCCTATATTGGTGAGATATTATCACTTTTACAGCTAAATATACTTGATTTAGTTTTGCTTCAGACTCATTTAACAGTGAATACTTGTAGTAAATAAAGCCTAAAGTCTTTCTGTCATTCATCGAATGAGTCGTCGTGTCAATACGCTAGTCCTGAATCCCATTTCATCACTTAACAGACTAGAAGGCATCTGGGACCTTGAAGAAAACACTGTATGACCACTAGTACTGTCACGTGTCTGAGAATATACTGTTGATAAGACTACCACTCAACCGGTCAAATTTGCATATATATCAGTGGAGCAGAAAGGGTTTGGAATAAGACTTTTTTTTTTTTTTTTTTTTAGCTTAAACAACAAAACCTCCCAAACTTCTGTTGATGAAATACCAGTCACTAACTCGTCGTTAAATCGCGATGTGGATGGTCTCCACTACCACACCACTTGAATTCCAGCACTATGAAAAAACATTTATACCAAACCTCCTACTAAAGAAGAAAATCAAATGAATGACATCTTAAACGTCAACTGCAGAGACTGCCTCAGCCTGACAAAGGGTTTTTAAATCCAAAAGCTTGCTAAAACAAATTTCTAACTGTTTAAGTTGGTCTAATAAAATATATCAGATTCACCCAAAGAACCTTGTCTACCTTAAACTAGACTCTTTCCTCTGAAACTATCCTCTTCCCTCCCTTTATGAGGCATAAAGTTAGCCAGGCTGGATCATTCCTGAAGATTAAGCCTTCCTTCTCATCTAAAATATTGTCATCTGGCAACAGTGATGTTCATGAAAACCCCTAAAATTAGAGAATGCAGGATATACGAGAGGCAAGGATTTCTTAGGGGGATATTTTTTATTGGACCAGCTGTATAGTTGGGATAGAGTTAGCCAAGCTTTCAAATGTACGACATTCTTCAAGTTTTGCATTTGAAAGTCTGTCTAACTCTATCCCAACTGTATGGTTGGTCCAATAAAAGATATTCCCCTAAGAAATCCTTGCCACTCGCATAATTTCTGGATTATCACAGCTATGACATCACACTTACAGTACCAGAAGGCAGGCTAAACACTCCAGCAGCAGTTCTAATAGGCAAAAAAAATTAGTCATCAGAATGTAAAGTGAATTCAGTTGTAACAGTTATGTCTCATTTTTCGTATATGTTTTAATATATGTTCAAAACAGCATGTAGGATACAAACATTTTCTGTTTATTTCAATGGAAGATCTAGGGAAGTTGGATATGTACCTTATGTTGAATTTAATAGAAGATGTATATGTAAACTCCCTAGGTTATATGATTAAATCTCAATCAGAATTACCTTTCTGTAAGAATTTCTATTTCTCCAAATGAAAGGCTACAATATAGGATTTCCATTACATGATTGTCATTCACGGATTTTGCATACATGAGCACTTACTCAGATTTCTGCAGCATTTTGAAAATCACTTTGGATAATGAACATAAATTTAATTTATTAGTGTTTTTTTCCTGGCTAACTTTTAGTCCAGCAAATTAACATCATACGTGTGTAACTTACAACAGTATCGCTAGCTGAGGTTTCATAGTAGTTTGGGTTTGGGGGTTTGAAGGAACCTGAACAGATCATCTAGTCTGACCTCCCCCACTGGCAGGAGCACACGCTGGGATCACACGACCCCAGACAAGTGTTCATCCAACTTCTTTTTGAATTTACCCAAGGTAGGAGCGAGGACCACTTCCCTAGTAAGTTGGTTCCAGATCCTAGCCACCCTAACACTGAAATAGTGCCTCCTAATCTCTAACCTGAATTTATTCTCCAGCAGCTTCTGGCCATTGTTCCTCTTCACCCCAGGTGCTGCTGGGGGGAATAGGGCCCTTTCTATTTGCTGCTGGTCTCCCCTAATGAGTTTGTAGGCAGCCACCAAATCCCCCCTCAGCCTCCATTTAAATAGGCTGAGGCTGAACAGGTTCAGGACCCTCAGCCTCTCCTCACAGGGCCTGTCCTGTTGCCCTCCAACCAAGCGAGTGGCCCTCCTCTGAACCCTCTCAAGGCAGGCCACATCCTTCTTAAAGTGCGGTGCCCAGAACTGGACGCAATACTCCAATTGTGGCCTGACCAATGTTGCGTAGAGGGGGAGTATCATCTCTCTGGACCGGCTTGAGATGCATCTTTGGATGCACGACAAGGTGCAGTTGGCTTTGCTGACTGCGGTCTGGCATTGGCGGCTCATGTTCATCTTGGAGTCAATAATGACTCCAAGATCCCTTTCTGCCTCTGTGCTCACAAGGGGGGAGCTCCCCAGCTTGCATGTATGCTGTGGATTCCTTCTCCCAAGGTGCAGCACCCTGTTTAGTTAAAGTTAAAGGTTTAGTTAAAGCTGTCACAAACAACTCTGCTAATGACATTTCTTAGAAGTTTTGGTTCCTTCCTCAAACACTTTATAGCTGTAGGAACACAGCGTACTTATATTTACAGGCATCTCCTATTGTACACAAAACATTTTCCCTGCATTAGAGGCAATCTGGATATAGAGAGAAAAAAAAGTTTGTTAACATACCAGGCTCTTGACGACTTTCAGCAACTCCTCCATTACCACAGCAATGCCTTGGTATCCCAAAAGCCGGCAGATGACTTTGAAGTGTGGGGGCCCAACAAAATTCCTGTAGTTGCTATAAATGCTGGAATAAGCCAAATTCAATGCCTGATAATAAAAAAAAAAGTTTTAATTAACAAAACATCTCAATTCACTGCACTTTCATAGTTCTCTCGCATGATGTTCTTTGCTTTCCGAGTAATAGTTTTGAGCGTACTAAACTCTCAGGACTTGGCCTCTTCATCTCAAATACATAACACTAAACAGAAAGCATCCTTTTAAAAATTAAAATTCTCCATATCAATGACATCAATGCCTAACACCATTAAGTGCTGGTGACCAGACACCTTCCACTTACCTTTTGGTCTAGAACATTCATTTCTCCTTCAAATTTATGGGTAAGTCATGGTTAGAAGAGCACAGAAGTAGCTCAGACCAATTCCTAGACTCCTAAATATAAAACTGTACTTATCCTAGTATCAGTCTCATTTACAGATCATTTAGGGGGAAGAAAGTTCTTGATGGAAGCTACTTTAGCTTCCATTTTATGGTGCCTATTCTAATGCTCTAATGGCTCCAGTAATGAGACCAGACTCCTAAAGTTACCGCTCTCTGCAAATTGAGTAAAATAAGATCTGTCATTCAAACTCGCTGCCCTCTATACCAAAACAAAACAAACAGTCCAACACTGGGACAACAAGCTAATGGAAATTATATTGTCAGATAATTCCTGGACACAGACCATTAGCTAGGAGTCCCAAGCCCCAATGACTTCTTATTTCCTATAAGCCTGTAACTTCCCCATGCCTTGCTTCCTATTAACTGTAGGCACAAGAACAGCAGTAATTATGCACATATGATCACACAAAATTAAGACTGAAAGCAGGTGTCACAGCCAGAAAAATGTTAAGACCTGCTCTCCTAAGCTGCCATTGATCACCAGAATAAAGAAAAAGGACTGTGCAGATTTATATCATCTGAGGGTCTGGAAGACTGCACGCAGCTGACGTCCGGGGAAATGGCAGCAATTCCACGGATTCTTTTGAAGAAATTTGCCCAGTTTTCTTGGCCAAGCTAGGTGTACAATTAGACCAGAGGTGGGCAATTATTTGGGCAGGAGGGCCACTTGGGGAGTTTTCCCGGGCCAGGTTAGTACCGTCTGCCACTCCCCCGCTCCCCACCCCAACAACTCACCAAAACCCCCTAAATGGCTCTGTCCCCGGGGCTGTCATTGCCTAGTGATCCTGGGGTCTCCGTAGAGACTGGTCCAGGACCCAAAAGGCGGGAAGTGGCACTCACGAGTGGGACTGGTGGGTGGGGATCGCAGGGCAGTGACAGCACAGGCCCGGGGCCATCCCTCCCCATCGATCACATCGTCCATTCCTGCCCACTCCCAGTCCATCCCTGCCCATCGCATTGTCTAACCTGCACCGAGTACTTTCCAAATGCTTGCCTGGGAAGAACCTGCCGTAAGTGAGAGGCTAGACTAGGTGACCTCCTGAGCTCTCTTCCAGCCCTATGACACTAAGACACCTCTCCAGTGTGGATCCATGCAAGTAAACAAACGATTACAGTAGTGTACTCATATCTGGGTACCCACTATGACCACTCGGGAACTAAAGCTACTAAGCTGACAGACGCATTCAAGCTAGTTCTATTTCAACTTTCTGTTAAAGAAAAAAATGTCACTTAGCATTAGAAATGACCAAAGTGGAAAATACACAATTACATTACTTTGTTGCCAGTTCCCTATTTATGTTGCAGTTTAACTATTTAAAACATAGGCTATAAGATTAGATGCAAGTTTTTATATCATTAGTTATAAGCAGGGATCCGTGTTTTCCGTTTCCCATGGGAAAACAGCATAAAACACAGATTTCTCCCCCTTACTGGAATAAAATGTGGATTTCTCATTTTAGCAGAGAAACCCGTGGGTTTTGCAGTTTTGCAGCAGCTCTCCACAGGCTGGCAGACTACCAGCCTGCAGGGGGCTGGGAGGGAATGGGAGGAGGGTGATCAGGCAGGGGGCGCCATGCACATGTATATGCACATGGCCCCAGGCAGCCCAGAGGGCAGCTCCCACAGGTAAGTGTTGGGTTGGGGAGAGAATTGAGGCCCCCATAGGGAGGGAGGGAGGGAAGGAAGGAGTTGGACGGGGCTAGGACTGGGGCTGCTGCCCTGCCGGGTAGTATGTGGGGCTTGGGGCCCAGGACCACAATGCAAGGCTGCAGGGCCCCAGCGGGGAGCAGGACAGGGCCGTGGGCAGTTTGTCCAGGGGCAGGGCCACCTCCCCACCACTGCACAAGCTCCCAGAAGGAAAGGGGGACCTGCGCCTCCCAGATGTGTGTGGGGCAGTGGCAGGGCAGGCTGGGGGCCCCTCTGGCAGGGCTGCGGGGACAGGGGCTGTGGATGGGGGGCAAGGGGCACAAGCAGCACTGGGGGACTGTGGGGAGAAGTGAGGGGCACCAGCAGAACCAAGGAGAGGCTGTGCCCCAGGAGCCTTTAATTTAATCACAGATTTGGAATTTATCAGAGAATTTACAATTTTTTTTTTTTTTTTTTTTTTTTAAATCGGAGAAAAAAACCAGGATCCCTGGTTAGAAGTTTTAAGTGCCAGAACTTTAACTTTCCCATTTCCAGATATCTATTTTAGAAAAGGTGATTTTGTTTATACTAGAAAAAAAAAAAAAAACGCACAGCTGATATCCACCAGCTATCTATGACAGAGAAAAGCCAGCAAATTAGCTTTCAAATCTAGAGATCTAGAATTTCCTGAATTTATTTTGAAGGTTTTATGCTCCTTCTGCTCAGGGAGAACAGACTTGCGTGAACAGACTACATAGCAAGATATGGCTCTATAATATTTTAAACTGCATCTGTTGACACAGATTGTATATTTATAATGATTTTTGTGGGGAAGGGACACTGCATTCAAATTGTTTGGATATTCCTTTCTGCACTCAAGCTATAACAGATGTTTGGCAGATTAAGAAAATCCAAACACGACAACTTGGAAAGAAGCTAAATATCCTGTTATTAAATCACAGCTGATTGAAAGACTGAATTCTAAACTAAGCCCGGCTGACACTACTGCACTTGCTTGAATATTACAATACAAAGCTGCACAATATGCACCAGAGCGGGGGGTATGAAATAAATTGGGAGGGGTACTAGTACAGCAGATAAACACTTACCAAAAATTAATTTTGCAAACAACTGTATCTGGCTTTCAACAGCAGCTTGGCTTCAGGGTTATTTTCTTGATTTCCTGAATACTTGGCTAAAACAGGTAGCCAGAATAACTCATGACAAAAGATGACTCAATAAGCCTTCAGTTTCAAGTAAGAGACTATAGCTGATGAGACATGCCTCATTAGAGCAGTCCCTCTTAATATTCCATTTCGCTCTTTTCTATTTTCTAGTCCATCATCCAATCTTTAACTGATAATAGATGAGTCTCCATAGGAGGGCCTCAGTCTCAGAGTGTGTTGCCTATAAATACTAATGATATCAATAAAATACCAAGCTTCATGCTTTACATGCAAAAAAAAAAAAAAAAAGAAAGAAAGAAAACATGTGCAGATTAAATACACGATTTACTTTGATATACTGGGCCATATTAAAAAGGTCCTCTCTAGAAGTCAATGTTTCACATTAATCATTTTAAATACGGCATACCTTGTTTCCTCGAGGTGTTCAACCTTAAAAATATCAGAGGTACAGTATAGTCCCGTGCCCAAACTACTGTACTTCATTCTTTCACCCAACTGCATTTCATTAGAACCAATTACTCTACAAAATTTTAAAACAGAGGGAAAAGAAGGGGCAAAAAGATACCTGCACATTTCACAAGGTAGAATTTGGTCACGGAAGAGAAAAGAAGCACTAAACATATTCTTTCAGTAGTACATACAAAAAACCTCATAGCTCATATAAAAGAATCAGAAGTAGTCAGCCTAAAAATAACACATTTCCACGTAAATATTTTGAACATTTTACATCAGACAAGTAAAACAGCTTGAAATGCTCTACCTGTAAATCCTGGATTAGTGGAGCACTATCTACAACTTAACAAGGGATTTAAAGAAAAATAAAAAAACGTAATTCATAGAAACATAAAGGGAAACTCAAGGGCATAAACCTGTATAAGGAAAGTTTGTGTTAAATCACTGCCAGCAGCTTTTCTTTTAAAAAAAGCTATGCTTGCCCCCTCCTCTGCTTTAAAAAAGAAGTTCCTGTTTTGCTGATGTCATTGAAGTGCTAAGCATTATTCACTCAGAGCATCACTGAAGCAAGCCTAGGTACGTATGCACAGAGCAGCCTATAACTGGAGTGCTCATGCAGTATATTGTCCAAGACGAAGCAAGTGAGAGAAAGAATGCCATATTTTTCCCTGTATGTTCTTGGAAAACCTAGGCAACAGACTCCTTAGACAAGATGTGCTCATGTGTGAATTTAAGTAGAAGAGACAAAGGAATGGTATCAACAGCATCCCTGGAGAATAAATTTGAAAGTGACAAGCAATGAGAATGCAGTCCAGAATCTGAAAGAAAAAACAAACCTGGCAAGTAGAGATGATGAAAAATTACTTGTGCAAAAAGGACACAGAAAATCTTGTTTGATTTATTTTTATAACTGCGCTACATGAAAATCTTTTTCTAAGGGTTTATATCAGGAAGCAAAGGTGAGTACTGAATTTATAAATCAATAAAATTACCAAATGGGTCTTCCAAGCATCTGAATAACAATTTCATATATTTTTACATCTAATTAAATTAATACTTGGTGGTAATCTAAGTGTGTGTGTGTGTGTGTGTGTGTGTGTGTGTGTGTGTGTGTGATATATATCTATATCTATATATTAAAAACACTCGTCCAAATACTATTCATGAAAGCTTTGATGAGGAGCTGATGGGTTCTAAAATGCCAGCAGGCAATAATTAAAAAAAATCAACACCCTCCTGAAGAAGTGTAATTAACTGGGATCTACTTATTAAAAAAAAAGATATGGGAAGCTCAAGAGCAAATAGATGCTCAGGTATCACAGTGATGTGGACAGCCTGAATATTTAAAAGGACATTGATATCTATTAATGCACATCTGTTTGTCCAACAAGTTCATTCAAACTAAATTTTTAGAATTGTATTGCTTTATTACCTCTGCTTATGGAGGGTAGGGTGCCTCTATTGTTGACAGGCTTTTGGGGGAGCAAGGTTAGAAGAAAAAAAATGCCTGTATTAATTAGATGGGTAGTATTTATACTTTAAAAAAATATGCTTACTGTTCTACTATGGCTGAACATACTGGCTGCAAATGAGAGTTCTGAGAAATGTGTTCTCACATATGGAAGTTGTTTGTAGGGTTGTTTTTTTTTTGTTTTTCTGTTTGTTTTTCACTAAGTGATAGTGCTTGATTTAAAAAAAAAAATTCACATAAAACTACAGTTATTTCAATTTGATCCCCAAAAGTGTAAATTTTCTGGTCCCTTTTGCAAAAAAAAGTGTGAAAATATTTTAATATACAATTTCTACCATGTCAGAATTTTATAATCTTCCTTTACCAAAAACTTTTCCAGTACTAAATTGTTAGTCAGAAGACTTCTTTCCTTGCACCCAATATATTGCAGTAGTAGTAAAATCACAAATATTGTTCTTCCTAACTGTTGCCATAATCATTTTTGTCAGTAATTTTTTGTTCAGTTTTCCAAAGCATGCGACTTTTCAAGTCCCATTGAAAACTGAGTCTTAAGTCAATATAGACTCAAGTTCCTACACCGTTGGGACATTTCTGAAAATCTTTACCCTAGAGATGATCTCAGTAAAAACAGTTTTACAAACTATCTTTTTGGAAGATCCACCAAACATGGAATAAGCCAGCTGATTTTGAACAGCAATATTCTTCACAATTTTCTCAGCACTTTTAAAACATATTTTTCATTAAGAAGTATTTAATTTTTCTTATATTACACTATTTTACCAAACAACTACAAACCAGGAAGCTGTTAAATTATTATAAATTAGTCTAGTATGAAAATTTCCCAGTAGGAAAAGCATGAGTCGAGAATGATAATGTAAGAACAGTACAAGATAAACATGTCAATAAATGACAAGTCCTTCACACAGAAACAGGATTAAACATTATTATAATAAAAAACCTCTATTTATCCAGTAGGCCGTGTGTGTAAACTGATCTACTGATGCTACTTTAAATTCTTTTGTTACTAATCTGGCTGGGCTAGCACAATGAAAACTAACTTCACATTCCACTTGCCACAAGAGTTTTATCATAAAAAGAGTATAGAAACAAGACCAGTTGTCTTGGATGGTATGGACAGAGATAGCCCTGCCTTGAGCAGAGGGTTGGACTGGATGACCTCCTGTGGTTCCTGTTTTTCGGTGATTCTGTAAGTTTTGCAAGCCTCTTAAAAAACCAAGAATAATTAATATGATTTAAGGATTACATTATTCGGTTATTTAGACAGTAGTGCTAAGGTGTGGGGAATTGCTGTATTTTATTTTTTAAATGATAATAATATGACTTATTCTCTTTGCTTATAGATGAAGACTGATCAGATAAAGTACTTCTTTTCAATTCCAGAGCATACCGCTGAAAACCCACATAGCTCTCAAAGCTGAAGCTTCCTGGACATCTCCCAGTTTCTCCAGAGCTGCAACAATAATCTGCCTGTCCCGAGGTGATATAATTGTGGAGAGGGGGGTTGGGGTGGGGAAAAAGATTAAGTGGCATCAAAATGGGAGTAACAGTCCAAAACATAACAGGAAGTACAGCAAGGGTAATATGGCCAAAAATGGCCAGTTGTGCTGACAGCTTTTACAGTATTATGTATCACCCCAACTGGAATAATGTGCTGTCAGGTTATTCCCGAAAAAGTTTTCAGAAAGAAGAGCGAGTACCTGCTAGTCGGTCTTCATTTGTCATTGAAAACCTAACTCCACTAACCACATACATACTATGTGTAACCTGTCAATCTGCAAACCCATCCAGTGACCAGTGCAAAATTTTTCACACGCTAAAACAAGATGCAGCATCTGCCAGCAACAAAAAAAAAGATCTGGCACTGGGCATCTGGCTAACAAGCAGTATTCTGCTTCTCATCATTGCTGGCATCTTCCTCTATGGCTGCCTACATATATGGTGTCGCAAGAGACGAGCACGCTTAGAAGAACAAAACAGGAATTCAGAACAAGAGAAAGGCAAAGTCTGGTTCAAAAACAAGTCTCACACCTCAGAGGAGTTCAACAGGGCCAGCCAACCACTTCAAGAGGACGAAAATATAAATGCAGATTTTGTCCAGCTGGCTACAGTCAGTGAAAATCCTTTAACTTCTAAGGATGTGCCTATCATGCCAACTTCCACAAGCCAGGAATTAGTGCCAACGTCTGTACAGACAACCACCATAAATTAGACGTCCTTAATTAGTGAAGACCACTGCAAAGATCAGCTGTATACAATAACTGAAATATTTTAACCTACAGAGTTCTGATCTTTTAAGCTTGTACTTCAAATATTTTAGTACCTGCTGGGGCCCTCTCATCTGCATTCTTTATCATAGCTGGCATTTTCACCATCCCACACACAGCTAAAAGTTCTCAATGGTAAGGTTTAGACTACCAAGAATTGAGTATTTCAGCTGTGTTTTATTAGAATAAGGAGGGGGGAAAAAAATCACTTTATATGGTACTTTGGGGGGGTTTTGTTCTTGTTTTTTAGGGTTTGATGAGGAGGGGAGGCATGCAAGAGTAGATAAGCAAATAACAGCCTTGTTTCAAAGTCTAAATATACAAGAAGGATGAGCAGAAGAAATATTTCTATTATTAGTAAAGCAAATTGAATTGAAAATTGCAAATGGAGACTGATACTCCTATGCTGCAGTCAGCTCAAATGTATGTTACTGCAATACATTACAATAACTCATACTAGTATAACAGTCTACTGTTATGAATTTCATCTTCCTGCTTCTATAACGGAGCAGTTCACTGGCGTACTCTGTACTTGATCCTTCTCTTCCACGATTTCCAGTCATCCATGACAACCAAATCAATCAGTTTGGGGAGGGGAGGATCAAGAGGGAAATGACTTCTCATTCAAAATTCCTCCCCCAGTTTAATAATGCATTCAGGATGATGACATGAGCAAGACGCACTCTAGTTCAACCAAACGACTGCTCTGTTCAAGGCTATGCAGGGAGCATCTGGAGCAGCTGTCTCTATATGGTTTGTTACAGTTGCAAAAGAAAGAAAGTGCTTATGGCTCAGAAGGAAGGAGATGGTACTTCGGCACCAAACTCCTAGCTGCTCTCTGCCTCCTTCAGTTTTAGGGACAAAGACTCCTCAACAACAGGTTTTTATTCAACCAGCAATATTTCGTAATGCATTAAGGGCAAAAAGCAGCGAAACTATGGCCAAGCAGATTTGAGATTTTAGAAATGTACACGCCAACCAGTTGTCCTGGATTTCTTAGCAAGTTGCCAAAAGATCCTGGAACTGGAAGTCAGTAAACCCTGGGAAAAAAAACACTCTGGGTCTAGTTTTGCACATGCATGGTACCTAGTTTTAAAGCTATTATGTACATCTTTCTTCCTTTTAAATTGATACATCTTAGTGTGACTGCATAATACAGTGGGGGGGCGTTTTTAAGAGGCTGTAAGATGTACTGTGACTTAATGTACGTATTTTAAAATTGATGTCAAATAAGAATGTCAGCTTAAAGTCAACTACTGAACCAGCTCTGTCTGTCACATCAGCTAAGGAAGGAGAAGTACTTGTGTGGCAGCTGCCATCAATTCTAAATGCCTTCTGGAAGCCAGTGTGATCTACAGGTTTGATAACAATGCATCCACTTAAACATTTTACAGAAGGCAGCTGCCTATTCTGGCTACTCCACTCCTGAAACATTTCACATCATTTGCACCCCAAACTTCAGCTTTCATAATGATAAACCAGTCACACATCTGGAAAATCAGAACCGGCACAAACTTGGTACATTTGCTGTCTTCTCCCGGCACAAAAATAGTTCAGACACACAGCATACCTGGTGTGCCAAATGGACAGTGACTATTTATTCTTTCATAGGAACAAGTTTAAATGTGTATTACTGTACTAAATGAACGTTCATGTCCTGTCTGAACCTCCAAACTGACATGTTCTTCTACTGATTGTGTTTCCTTTGTCTTACACATACTATTTTAAATAAACTACATTTGAAGCCTGAAACATTTACTGGAATTTCAAAGCAGGCAATTGTAATATAACCTCCACAGAACAGGAAGTTGTCTTTGTAGGTTTACTTCCCAGACTGAGAAATAAACAAATGCACTCCACTTGAAATGAGCCAAAAAATCAATTATGTTGTCAGTTGTTCTACCCTTCATATAGGGTAGAGATGTTCTCGTATGGAGGAAAGTAGCTTGTAGGTAAGGCCTAAAGCAAAGAGGCCTGTTTCTGTTCCCAACATTTACCAATGATTTTCCCCATGCCTTTGGAAAGATAGAGAGAAATGAACGACTCAAGTGCTATAGCTATACAGACATGTAGCATGCAACAATCTATTAATTTATGCTCTCTAAATATTTCCTTGATAGAATATCTATTAAAATATTACTAATTATTTGTCACTCTCAGCTGATACCAAAAAAAAAAATATTTTTTTTTTAATTACTTCAGGTAGACAAGGATCTTTGAGGCCATCTGATTTTTTTTAGACCAATTCAAATAGTTGGGGGGGGAAAAAAACCCTATCTGAGTTGGTCTAATAAAAGATATCAGATTTACCCAAAGAACCTTGTCTGCCTATGTCCTTAGACCAACACGGCTACAGCCTACACCCTTGTATTACTTCATGCTTTTAATAATGTTGAGGAGTGATGTGGTAGACATAGCCCAAGAAACGTGGGTGGCATGAACTTTTTGTGAATAATATCTTTTATTGGACCAGCTGCATGGCTGGGATAGACTTATGTCCCTGGAAAGCATTACATTTAAAGTATAATGAATGTATTAATAGAGCAATGCATTGTAATATGTGTAATTATCACATATTCAGGAAACTTATCACCCAATGACAAAATGATGATCCAGCTACAAAGATTTTACTTATTAAATGTAGAATATCTTTGCAGCTTGTTTGTACTGGACTTTAATTTGAACGTGTGTTGTGTTACACTTAGGATTATAGTGTTTGTCCAGGTCCTTTAGCATCTTTAAAGAGATTTTTAGCACCAATTCCCTGTGAGAGGTAGAGTGTAAACACTCAATATAACATGCTTTATTTGCACAACATAGGAATTTTTTACAGTAAGGGTGGCCAGGATCTGGAATGGGCTTCCAAGAGAGGTGGTACTATCACCTAACTTGGAGGTCTTCAAGAGGAGGCTTGATAGACATCTGGCTGGGGTCATCTAACCTCGGTCCTCTTTCCTGCCAGCGGCAGGGGGTTGGACACGATGATCCTTTGTGGTCCCTTCCGACTCTACAATATATGAATCTATAATGTAGATGGAGCAAGAAAAAGCACATATACAAAAGCCCCTCATAAGGTATCCTAGGAAAGTTCAAGCCCCAACACTCCTGCCCATTGGGAGTCTCAGCTGGTGAGCTCAAGAGTTCACGTCTCAGCAGCATAGCTAAGGGAGGAAGGGGAAATGAAAGTATCTGAATAGCTTATGAATGTGAAACAGGTCATATGGAGCAACAGCATCCACTGAGAAACATCACCTGTTGCTTGATGAAAATTATGTCTGCCAGGGCCCTTATACAAGCTTTTGAAAGCCGTGAACGTGTCTTCAAATCTACTGCATTTGAAAGCTTGCCTAAGTTGATCCCAACCATGCAGATAGTCCCATATCATCCACAAAAAATCCTTGCTTTCAGGCTTTAACTAAGTTTAATACTGTACCTAAATAACAAAACATAGGGATTTTGTTTTAGTCAGTTTTGAAAAATTTATTTAACATTGCCATGAGTACAACTGCAGTACCCATTTTCTCTCGCTTTAAAAATATATTTCATAATAGCATAGTTTGGGGTTCTAACCTTCAGGAATCTGAAATCAGTTACCTTTACATTTTTCACTGGTTTAAAGCATCATGCTCACCTGTGTATTCCTGCAATTTAGTAGTATGTCCTCTAATTTTAACGCTGATTTGATGAGCAGGTATGTACTGATGGGCTACTTAAAACTGCCAGTGAGAATGAATGCTGATGCACATGCAGTAAGAACTAAATGGACACTGCCACTGATTGGGATAGCTGAATGTTTTCTTCTCTGGTGCACTTTGACTCCTTTAAAACAGGAGTATCAAAGATATGGCCTGCTCCTGGGATATAGGGCTGCTGGCAGGGCTGGGAATCTGGGGGTGAGGCAAGATAGGGCCTGCCCCTCCATTCCAGTGAGCAGAACGCCACCGGGGACATGTGTCAACAGCAGAAGGGCTGTTTCCTTTTTTGAAGGAAATCCAAGATGGGGAAGAACAGGGGGTGTCCACACCCTCCTCCACAACCTCACAGCTCCTAGGAGCTCCGATGACAAAGCCAGGTGGGATGGGACACCACGGAGGCCTGTGGGCAGGCTCCATACCCCATGAACAAAGGTTGGGGCCGAGGCTTGGGCTCCCGTGTGCGGCGAGCCAAGACGACTGCCCACTGCTAGCAGCCTTATGCCTGGCCACGGTCCAGGTTGCACATGGTGGCCTCGAGCAGCTGCCTTTACTTCATTGCTGGGTAATATCCTCACCATAACAGTAGTCACTAAATGCAGAAGGAAATTTGGGCATAACTACAATAATCAAAATGTTTCCATTTAGAATTTTTCATCATTTGGATTACATGAGATGTTTTCAATCCAGATAATCTTCTCTGTAATTACTCTTTAACAGTGTAGATTGCTAACTCCAGAATTTTGCACAGAATTATTTAACCTGCATGTAACAGTGTTTGGAAACTGTTTGATTCAATACATTTGGCATATAAAAGGTGCTGAAGAAACTAGAAACATAAATGTATTTATGCTGGCTTAAAATTTACTGTTTTTAACTTGGCACAATATTAGAAAAAGAACCATGTGTCAATAAGAAGTGCTTACCTAAATACTTTAGGTGCCTCTGACAACAACTCAGAAGGCACTAAGTCAAAGAATTAAAAAACCAGGCCATAACTCATTATTACTTAGTCCATATGCAACTCAAAAACAAAACCATCCAGGCCCCTAATTCTGTAAAATGGTAAGTACTTTGACACAGGCACAGACATATGATATACATTCAGTTCCTGCACAATGGGAACACTGAGAGCAGCCTCCAGGCTCAATCATATTACAAAACTATGAATAGTAAAAATATACAGTAAAAGTTCATCTCTAAGTTACACACACACACTTCAAAATATAGTCTCAAACTAAGCAACTATATTCTTCTAAAAATGAAAAAGCACAAACGGTGAAGGAAGTATGATAATTAAAAAAACAAAACCCTCAATGAATTTTTTTTTTTTTTTACAAATGCATCTAAGAAGCCTCCAGATTCGTCCTCCTCATAACAGTACACTTTAAAAAATGTCAAGCTCTGTGAGGTTACTGAAGTCATTTTAATCGTGCAACCTGACGGGCATAACAAATTCCACAGATAATCCTCAACTTCCTTGCATTTCACTCGCACTGAAGTGCAATTGACCCCTGGGCACCCTCACTGCCTGGACAGGGCCCATCTCAATGGGCCAAAAAGAGGTAGGCTCCCTCTTTCTTGGCTGGCGCTCGCTTTCTAGTCCCAGGACTCGTTCCCTCTTGGCTGCTCGATGGGCCAGTTTCAATAAGAGAGGCAGAAGCTGCTTTTGCCCCTGCCTCACCCATGGCTTGGTGCTTAGGGAAATTTGTTGGAGGAAAAAAAAGGAAAGATATAGGTTAAAAAATGCTGGCTCCAGAAAACCTAGAGCCTCAATCTTCCACTTCCTGGGCAAGTGCCCTATTCCCTAAACTAGTAGACTAAAAGATAGGTGACCATTCACTACCTTTTGATGATGTTTCTCCTCCAACTATAGCTTCAGGGACTTGCTTAGAATGATGTGCTTTCCCAGGCAAGAAAGGATGGAAACAGAAGGATTAGTGGTAGTAGTGGGACCCTTCCTAAGCACCTTCAGAAGGACAAGTCTGGTCACACAGGTGGAAATAGGATCTAAAAATCCACACAAGGAGTAGGTGAAATTGAATCTGGGCCATCAAGTCTGGTTTTCCTATTTTCAAACTATTTAGAAATGTTTAATAATACACTATTCATGGTAATGTGCAGTTCACAGTCCGATTTTTCTGTAAGAAGATAATCCTCTTCTTTGCCTCTGTACTATAAAGCTGAAGACTTAATTTTACAACAGCAAATCATTAGCTTTGAACTGCAGGGTTGTAACTTTTGAGTTGTAATTTCAGCATGGTCAATAATTTGCTATGTGACCACATTTTGCTACGTGCTATGCTTTGCTATGTGACCCTAAACAAATCGATTCAATCAATTTGCCTCCTTAAAATGTATATAATATTTCTAGTGCCTGTCTAGCTGTGGTGGTGTGAGAATTAGTTAAAACTTATATAATATTTGGAAAAATATGAAGTACTGAGGATAAATTACCCAGGTAACTCAATGGATTGATTATAATTCTAAATGTTATACTTGACTGAAGAGACATGGTAAATCATAACACCTATCACAAAATGTGAAATACTCCTTGCTTGCCTGCACTTTGCCTTTCTTAATACTCAAAGACCACGGACATTCACACACAAAATTAAGGTATTCTGTAGTAATTCGTTAAAGTGCTGTTGTCCAAAACTATGAACATGGGATGGGAAAAATCAAGATAAGCTATCATCTGCTCCTCCTTATAAACCTTTTTCAGAATATCAAGGACTAGGAAGTAAAATGTATTTACATCAAGCTTTTGAAAAAAATAGTTAAGAAGGAAAGGCGTAGCAAGCTCCTTCAGTGCCTGGGGTCGGGGTGGGAATTCTGCCAAGTCCTGGAGACCAGGGGGTTGGGGCAAGGGTGGGGAAACAGTGTCTTTACCTGCCCTGGCTCTCTGCACTTCGGCAGCAGCTACTACTGCTATAGCAGAGTGGGTTCAGACTGCTGCAACTGGGGAACACACTTGCTGCAATACTATGGTACAGGTACCCCAGGGGCCTCCTCTGGTGCTTCATTCATTCCACACATCCCTGGCCCTGACACATTACTGGGTGCAGGGATGCACCTGCCATGGCAAAGATCCTTTTGCGGGGAAATGTTCTGCTCCCCTTCCTCCACCCCTCAGATACATTACTGGCCACAAGGTTGCTATGGTTGGGCAGTGCAGGGACGCCCTTGCCCTGACAGGGACTTTGGGGGAGAGAAAAGGTGCCATTCTGGGGTCCCTCTAGGTCACCATCAAGGGCCGAATGTTCTTGTTCACCCCCCCCCAAATTTACGCTACTGATGAGGTCACACAAAGAACACATGAATTAAGCCAAATTTTATACAGTTACGTTTAGGAATTACTTCTCTTGTGTCACCCATTTGCTCAAAGCCTGACACTGACTGAGCCAGGGTAAGTGCCTGCAAAATACTGAATAGGTATCAGTTTGTAAAATCAGAAACTACCTAAAAGAAATGGAACTCCATGGAAGTATCAATCTGATCTTTTACTCCTCTTGCAGTAGATTAAAGAACTCTAGGTGGGTGTTAAACACATACGATAAATGCGTGAGCATTAAGTACAACATTTCTCTGTCTTGGCAAAAATAACCTATCAATTTGTGTGATTAAGAAAATATCTGCACAAGGAGCAAAAGGGAAATTATCCAATTAACCAATGGCACACAACTGAACAGGGTACTAGTCCTGGAAGCAAACGCTGCTTAATTTCTTCATTCTGAGTAATGCCATTAAAATCAGTGGGAAAACCTATTTACTTAGAACTAAATGTGCACACAAGCATTTGCAGGATGTGGCCACCTTGGATTATGTTCCCTTTCTGTATGACTATCAGGAATTTGTGGGAAGGTACAGAAGAGCAAGCCAAGACACTGGGTTGCTATCCCTGGTTCTCTCATATACGCACTGTTGAGACCGTTTGTAAGTAATGAGCCTCCAGTCACTTCTGTTGCTTCCTCTGCAAAACAAGGAAGATAATGCTCATCTAGTTGAGCACGCTTGGTGGAAGGCAGAATTCATTAATAGTGACTGGTAAAATCAAAGCACTTTGTGATCCTTGGATAGAAGATGCCATGGAAATACAAAAGGCAAAGGCAGACAAGGTTCTTTAAGTAAATCCAATATCTTTTATTAAACCAACTCAAATAGTTGGAAAAATTCTTCTTTGCAAGCTTTCGGGTACAGATACCCTTTGTCAGACTGAGGAAGTGTCTGCAGATGGTCTGTACCCTTCCTGGATGGAGCGGTAAAGCAGGCAGAGGCCAGTACGTATGCAAGAAAGCCAGTCAGTGAAAATGTAAATTGAGGTAGTCAACGGGTCAGAGACAGGTGGGGGCCAGGGGAGAGATGGGGAATCAATGTAGCTGTAGTCAATAGGTGGGAGGCGGGGAGGGAATGAATATAGCCAGTAAAAAACAGAGAGGTTACCTGGGGAGTCAGATGTTAGGCAAGTTGTAACGCGTCATAAATCCATAAATCGGATGGATTGATAACACAACCTCTCCAGGTAACCGCTCCACTTTTTACCAGCTATATTCATTCCCTTCTTCCCCCCACCTTTCTGTCTCTCACCCATTGACTACAGCTACATTCATTCCCCTTCCCCCTACCTCTGTCTCACCTTGTCTGCCTATGTCCTTAGACCAACACAGCTACAACCTACACCCATGGAAATACAAAGGTTTTTAAACTAATTCAAAGCAGCTTAATGGCTGGTATTTTGAAATGCTTAGTTTTTATGTTTAATTTGAAGTCTGACTGCAGTCTAAGCCGCTTTTCCTATTTGTTGTGTCTCGTTTTTCTAATCATTATCTTTGGAAGGGAGCAGCTGCTCTCAATCTGGGCTCCTATTCTCACCTCACTGGTTGATAAATTCTACTGCTTGTTTTTCATGAATCCTCCTCTGCCATGATAGAAAACTGTGCAGTCCAAGTGCGAGAGGACAACTCAGTTTAGTATCTGATAAAGCCACTCACCATTCACACTTCATCGTAAGTATTGCTGTACCTTTCATCCAAAAACAAAGAGCAGACCAAATTTTACATAACCTGAAGATGTACATAAGTGAATTTAATGGCATATTTCACCACTCACCATTCTGTACTGTAAAGTTAAAAAAAAAACCCCCAAAAACCTTGCATACCTGGAAACACCATAAATAGAAGAGAATAAAAGCTAACCTTTGATCCACAGAGATATTGGGGCTGTGCATTAGGCTGCTTATCTCTCTGAAACTCCTGAGAAAAGGGTAGCACAGTCCGAACAAATCTAAAAAAGCAAAACACAGAAACAATTAGTTACATCTAATGTATTAAAATGCACTGTGCTGCTTCTGTCCATATGCAAAAACCAAGACTAGAACATAATCCTTTAAGTAAAGGTTACTTTCAGTGACATGGCACAAATTGCTGTTGCCCGTCATCTTTTTTCTAATGATGCAGCTTACTTAACCAGACAAGCAGTAGCAGCCAAGCGGTGGCTGCTCTTCGCATGAAACAAGCACTGCTTGAAACACCATTTTGGACAGGCTGGAAGACAACCATTTATGAAACTTTCTAATTGCATAACAATGTCACTGAGCAGAGGTCTCAAATTATGAGCTCCATCAAATATTATTTTCCTGAATATAATGCCAGGATTTAAATTTGGGGGAAAAAATAGCATTGAAGAACACTGAAATTTAAAGATATAGTTGCTTATTGCTCATGGCACTTTTCTTCCCCTTTTCACAGTTATAATGGTGTACCAGGCAAGGCTTGCTTCAGTGAGCTTTGTTGGTAAGAAACCAATTTTTCTGAGTCATTAAACATTCAGAACAGATGGAAAGGTGGCTTATCATGAAAAACAGGGAGGCGTCGATGTAGCAATTTGAGGTATGCAATAAAAAACAGTGAAAACAAAACCAAAAAGGGTAAAAGGGAAAAGCAATTAGTTAAGGAAATCAAGAGGCAGAAAGTAATATTTAAATACGTTATGTACAGAAGGAACAGCAGGGTGGAAATCATGTTTACAAGTTGTTGCAATAGCTTGTGCAACTAAGGATGCCCAGAGGCCCAAATCCTAAACCTTTATTCCCGTAAGAAAGGACGATGGTAGGGACCTCAACAGAACTTTGGTCATGAGAAGCCTGTTTGCAAAGCTGGACTTCTGATATTTCGTGCAAGACTGTTTTGCACGTTTTCTGCACAATTATAATTTGAGCATATTACTACAAATTTAATAACTGATTTCTACTACACCAAGATAACGATCCTGCAGTTAGGTAAGTGCGTGTAACTGTTACTTTAAGTAAAGAGATAAAATGTGTGCATTTGCAAGAGAGGGATTAAATTCTTAAAATTGGCAAAGGGCATTTCAAACGTGGCTCTGAAAATATGTGGGGACGGAAATATTCATCATACTAGCAGCTGCAGGTTAGATATTTGGAAAATGAACAGGGGGACATTCTATCCTATAATTATTTTTGGGGGGTTTTAAGTGCCTAAGATAAATAAGTATATGAGAAAGAAATTAAACTAATACAAGTTTCCTAGTTTAAAATAGAAATAAAACACATCTGAAACAACTTACCAAGAATTAATTATTTAACCCCTCTTTTTTCTAGCCATATCATAGGCACACCATGATAATTTTAGGATACCTACTTTCCAGCTAACATTAAAAATAGCTTTGATTTTCAAAGCAATGATAAATCTCTCAAAGATTTGGAGATGGGGAGAGCACAAGGATTAAAGAGAGCCAGGAATAAACAGGGACTGAAGACTCTTTTACATAATAGGAATAAGCATGAAAACTCCTGAACACAGAAAATAAACCGTGGCTTGAAAACATTTCCTCTCTTCTTAGAGTTTTATTTGACATAACATGAACCCTCTTTGTGGATTCTATAACATTATATATTTTCTGTATTTTAATTAAAACTACACAAAAAAGCACAAGATTTTCAAATGTTATTCAACATGGCTTTTAAGAGGGTCTTTTCAAACTATCTGCATTTGTAAAAATCCAGTAACTGTTTGCATTTAACTACTTCTGAGGAAAAGGTCATTTGGATATAATACATTTGATATAGTAAATCTATGATCTGATATATTAAAAAAATCATTTAAAAAATCCCCTTTCATTTGATTTCCCAGATTTATTAGTCCCCTCCCCCGATAGTATAGCTTGAATGCACTTGTATAGAAGCTTTCTCCTGAGATTATTTGAATTTGTTCTTAAGAGATTTTTCATTAACAGGTTTACCAAAAATGTAAACATTTGACAGAATCAAAGTAATCCTGGATTTAGGAAGAGATTATTCTCTGTCTCAGGTCCCATTTTCTATAAACTAACACCAATTTTTATGCACAGGGAAAAATCAAACCAGTGAAAAGAGGGACAAGAAGAACACCTATACTACACCCTAGCATCTCAGATGCAACCAATTTGCAGTGCACCAACAGACTGACATATTTACCAGGGCTTTGCCACTTTTCTGAAGAATGTTAATTTACAGTTTCAAAAACAAGCATGCAGCTGCAGGGGACAGGACAAGGAGCAAGGGTCTTCAAATTGCAACAAAGGAAATTTAGGTTGTACAAAGGGAAGAAATTTCTCACAACAAGAGTGGTTAAGCATTGGAACAAGCTACCCAGAGAGGCTATGGAATCTCCTTGAAAGTTTTTAATACCAGCTTAGATAGACACTTAGGCAGTTGTATAGGATGGTTTCGACAGAGACAAGGTAGTGCTTTGATCAGGGGCTTGGACCAGGCGAGGTCCCTTCTAATCCCACTCTTCTTTGATTCTCTGATTCTAAAGTCCAACACTGCATCACTTCACATCTGTATTCAGGCCCATCCCTATTATTAATTAATTGCAAGTGTTGCAGAAGCAAGTCATTGTCATTAACTGCAATGTCTTTAAGTGACTGGAGAAAAGGGAGCCACTCAGACTCCCACTCTGCCTGCACCCAAAGTCTATAGAAAGGTGCTTGCCTCAGAAGTCAGTCTCAAAAGAAATATTGCTCCCGAACAACAGCCTTCTGGGTTATGCTATTAGTGATCCAAAATGCATCTCTCTGTTCAGACTAACCACTCGATACAGTCCAAAAGTTTTCCTGTGTTCATCTCACTATCTCCAATTTCGTCACCACAACAGCAACCAAGTAGCTTTTCTGAAAAGTTGAGGTCAGGGTCCTGTGCTGTACTGTATATTACTCTCAGGTTTTCAGGGAAGAATTTCTATTTGATCACCCTATAGAAAGCATTCACTAGGGAATGCCCAGTCCGAGAACAGCAGTACTGGGGAGCCAGAGCTGCTGCTATACAGCCAGGTTGGAACAGCAGTGCCAGCTCCGCGTTGCTACTACGGGCTGCAACAGGGACAGAGCTTGCCGGCACAGAGCAAAAGCAAAGAGTGCAACAGAGGGGGAGAGAGACAGAAGTGAAGTGGGGGGAAGGAACTGGGGGCTGCAGGAGAGGAGTGGCAGGGTATGCAGAGGCAGGGGGAGGGAGGGCAGGCGACAGTTATGTCTCCAGCTCTAGCTCCAGCCCCAGCTCTGGGTTGAGGCCAAAGCCACTGCACCAGCCCCCTCTCCCCCCTCCCTGCCACTGCCTTATGCTCGATTGTAAGGCGAGGGGTCATCCCCCGCATGTTACAAGTTGGGGGGGGGAAACTGTTGACTAATCAAATAAATACGGTAGCATCCATCTGAAGTCAAATGCAAAGCTGTAGAGAGTAGGGAGCAATAAATGAAAGGCAAAAGTAATGCACCTGATTTTTTAACCGTTGTCAGATGCCCATACTTGAAACCTGTCACAGTAACTCACCTCATAATTTTACCAAACAGTTATAAACTTTTCTACTAAGTGCAACTTATGTCACTGCACACAGGGCAAGAAGCAAGGCAGACAGATTATCCACTTTTGACCAGCAACTTGGTTGGTATTGAAAAGACTTGATTTTTATTTTTAAAAATTGCAGGGGAGATGGAAAATCAAAACAACTGTTGAACTCCAGAAAGATCAAGGATGTCAGTCCAATCATCCCTCGTTTACACTGCTGATCTAGATGACAGAGTGAGTATGTCTGCTTAAGAGTATCAGCGCACACATTTTTTAAATACAGGTCCAATAGCAGTTTCCAAAACTATACATTGCAAAACGCTAGGTAGCCCCCTTGGAACTACAGGCACGCATTCAATCTTCTAGAGTCCCACCTTCCACTCAGCTGAGGAACGCTGATGCCAGGGATGATGGCAGCAAAACAGCTGTAGAAAGGTATTGACATGGAGTCACATCAAAGATGTAGCATGCAAAAAGCAGTACCTCCTTGCTGTCCATCTGTCTTGTATAGAGAATGTGAAAGTATTTATCCAGTTCTGGAAAAAGAATTAGAATTTTGACCAACTAGCCAAAAGCAGACACCAAACCGCCTTTGGCAAAGGCATCTCGGGGTTTTCAGAAAGTCATTCTAAGGACATAATAGATTTGAAAGAGCCATAAAGTGAGAGGAGATTTACCCTTTTTCAAGGGACTTGTAGAAGAAAACCTTCAAGACAGTTGGTTGCTAGCTTCTTCCCCAATATAGCCAATCCTCAGTAAGAAATTTCTACAAGCCCCAGAACCTTTGACTATGGACAACTTAAACCTTAGGAAGAAAAAATGTTGGAGAGCTGAACTGGCATCTTCTGGGAAAGCAAACAAAGAGCCTTTCAGAACGTATAATTCTTCGTTCTTTGTATTTTCTTTCTTTTCTTTTTAATACAAGCCATAAGGAGGACAGGGAAAAAAAATCAGAATGTAGTAAAAGAATTATCCTGGAGGCCCTAACATCTAGCTTATGCAGAATTAAGCCTGTAGTAAGACAGGAAATCTGCTATCATGAGAGTATAATTGAACACAGAGCTACTCAGATCAGGCTTGTAAAAGGTGGTAAGCCTTAGAGAGCCTGCTGTCACAGCTCTTAACAGGGCTGACCTCATAATTTCTCTGTAGTTTACATTTAGATCTAGTATTTTGATCACAGTCACACAGACATTGAAACGTATGCCATCTTTAGGATGAAAAAAAGTGTGACACTGCTTATCACCTCATGTTTTAAAAGCACATGGAAGATCTAACAATTAGGAAGCCATGCTCTCTTTTGTCTTCCAGGTATCGACAAAACCTTGTCTCCTAGGAAACATCATGGAGATGAAAAAAAAACAAATCAGCTCATAAAACTTCTCTGCACAATGTCAGTCCAAAGCTTGCAACAATATTTAAAGTAATGTCAGGGTTACTAAATGTTTGGGAGTTTGAAGCTAGCTGATGTGAACTATAGCCATTTCCTAATTTACCCTATTCTACTTTTGATCATCACTACAGCAGTCAAAATGTCCAAAGTATTGTGGTTCAAAAATAGATCTATACTACTCAAAGCTTACAAGCAGGGCCAGACACAGGCATGGGCTAACCAGGCAGCTGCCTGGGGCCTGGACAGAAAGGGGGCCCAAAAAATGAAAACACCGTTTCAAGTTACAATGTTTCGCACTTACAACATTTATGAACTGACACCCAGTTTCAACTTTATGATGTCAGTTTCAACTTTACAATGCTTGATCCAATGTGATGCCACGCCAGCAAACAAGTTCACTGCATCACTCATCTCCTTGGAGAACATCTGTCCAAACTTCCTTGGACACCTTTTTGAAGAAAGCAGACAAGACTCCAGAAAAACCTATAGCCAAGACTCCTGAGAAGACTCCAGCCAAGAACCCTTCAAAAAGTCCAGCAAAGTCACCTCAAAGAAGTCCTTCCAAATCAATATAATTGCTATTTACAATATAAATACGTTAATGTAGCTATATTACTCATCTATAATTGATCAGGTACAAAATTCTGGGGTATTTTTGGTGAAAATAGAGTATCAGGCCTTGGTTCAGGAACCAATCCACCATTCATAACATTGTTTCTTATGAAAAAATTGGTTCCAAGTTACGTTTCGACTTAAGACGTGGTTTTCAGGAACCAATTGCATTGTAAGTCCGAGGGCTGCCTGTATTATTATCATTATCTATGGCAAAGGGAGGGCCGATACTAAAAGTTCACCCGGGGCCTCCAGGAGTCTAGGTACGATGCCGCTTCTAAGCCAGAATGAAACAGACCTACAAGATAGTGGTGCATAGAGAACAACTATGTTATACGTGAAATGCTAGAGATCAGTTTTCTTAGCACAATCCTTCATTCTGGTCTAGGTACTTGGGACTACACAGATAAAGTCTACTATGCAGTGAATGGAAACATTTAAGAGAAGTGCCACTGCAAAGCAGTAGGTGTAACTTGCTAGCAAACAACTTGGGGAGCTGGTGTTACAATGTTCTTTAACAGTGCCAGCCTCTTCTATTCCAACAACCAAGATAATCTTTCCTCTGGGAAGAGTTACCACTATTAAGTAGTTCTAGGATTTGCTGCAGTATCTGTAATAGCTACTTGAACCCTTCCATGCAGGATACACTACAGAACATTCATTCTAAAACTTTGGTCTGTTAAAGGCGCTTACAAATGACTCACCCAGGAGCAGAGATGCCAGCCGGACATGATGGAGAAAGTATTCATTACTTTTATCGAGGTAGCACCTAACAGGGCCCCCTTGTATATGACAGGTTATATATATATATATATATATAGGTATTGTCCAAGTTAAGATACAAACAGGTTGCTATGAACAGATGGGGAAGCACACGGAAAGAAGTTGATTACAAAACGTAAAAAGCAATGATCACAGTGTACCAGCTGCCTTGCCACAGTTAACAACAGCCCTTTTTTTTTGTTGGCATCATAGCAGAGGAAATTTTTAAAGTGAAGATTTGGAAGAAAAGCAATGTGGCAGTGTTGTGGAAGGAGCTTTTTGGTCAGGTCCAAAAACAACAACAGCATGGGAAATATTTTGTTGCCTGCTGAAAATTTTGACAAAAATATTTTCCTGCAGTTATTCCCTATTTACCTTTGTGCACACTGGGCTACTACTTGGCACTGATGCCAGCACTCCCAGGCCTGCCACGGCTGGTACTACTTTCTAGTTATGCTCTAGTGGCATTTGTAAGAGGTACGAGGAATTGTTGAACAGGGACAAGGACTGAATCTGCTTGGTAAACCTGGATGGAGAAACACGGTTCCCTTTATTAAAACTCCTCTTTAAACAGTGTAATCAATATAAGAGAGGAGAAAAGGTGAGTATCCTTTCTTAAATATTTCAATACAAAACCTGTCCAAAAATCTTCCATGCTTTTAGGAACTATATGAGCCACAAGCAAGTGAATTGTGCATTCAGAGATATGAAAAGCTGCTATAATACAGTCTTCACTGATTAAAAGAGGGTCTTGTCTTTGCATAACATACTGTAGTAGCCTATTATCATAAGAAATCATGTCTGATTAATTCAATTCATATTTTTTGTAGATTTGGATACAGGGGTGAGGTGTT